GACTTAACCTCCATGAATTTATCTAGTTCTCTTTTAAACCCTGTTATAGTCCTAGCCTTCACAACCTCCTCAGGCAAAGAGTTCCACAGATAGACTATGCGCTGTGTGAAGAAGAAGACAGTGGGGCAGAGGGACAGGTGGCTCCATAGGAGCCAAGATGGTACTCACAGGGAGCCGGCTTAAAAGTAGGGATGTTAGATATAGTGTAATTGAATAGTTGTGTAACTGCATAAAATTTTATTGGTTATACACTAGTCGATAATCTCTGGGGCCATGGATGGTAGCCAGTGCACTCTAGCCTCTCTCCTGGGGAGCCATCTGACACCCCACACTGATGCCTCTGTATCAGAGGCAGCAGTGCAGGGTGGCAGGCAAGAGCCAGTCCATGAGGGGAGCCAGTTTAAAAACCAGCCCCTTGCACAGACTGGCTGCCAGCCACCCTGTGCTGCCGCCTCTCATACAGAGGCAGCAGTGTGGGGTGGCAGCAGCCCCTGTCTGCCTCTGTGTCCGATCTCCCCATGGACAGAGGCTGCTGATGTGTGAGGGGTGGGGGTGGCTGCCGCGAAGCAGCCTCTATCCACAGCGGCCTGGACTGGCCACGGACAGAGGCTGATCTGCGGCAGCAGCCCTTATCTACAGAGGATCCAAGTTCCTTACCAACAGAGGCTGCTTTGCCTTCCACAGAGCAGCCTCTGAGGCTGTGGACAGAGGCTGCTTTGCGGCAGCCCAACCCCGGGGAGACAGGGGGAACAGACAGCACGTCAGAGAGCTGGTGTCCGGAGAAACCGAATTTTAAGCTGACTTCCCCAAAGGAGGCAAGTGGAGGGCAGGCAGGTCCATGGAGCCAGTATGCGCTGAGAGCCAAAAGCCGTCTCCTCACATGTATCAGCTCTAGCCTGCCCCCCTTAACCTCCATGTTGCTGTCTCTCTATCAGTTCCTGCTTCCCCCCGCCCCAGTGCTGTTGACTCTGTGGGAGGCATGGGGGATCATGCTGTTCTTCTTCTCTGCTGCCTCTGTATCAGAGGCAGCAAGGGTGTGTGTGAATGTAGTTCATAATATTAACCAATAAACCCAGGTTTATTGTTTAATTTTATAATCAGCTACATGCTAGCATCCCTTATAATCACAATAATTACGTAAATATCACAAGACAACAAATCTGGGAAATATTCTTCAGTTAAAGAAAACCATAATTATTAGATAGATTTATACCATGCCAGGCTGTAATGTCGAACTTCCAAAATCTTAAGAACATATAGATGCTCACCAATATAGCTAATATTTACAATTATTGATCCTAATTCTCCTTTCATTGACAATAGTTTTACATGCATTGTCTTTAATGGTTTTAATCTTGATTTACAGTAATGTACATTAAATCTCCTATTGTAGATAAAGAATAACTGAACATACATCTAAAAGTTTTATTGTTTCTCTACACAGATTTAGTCAGATTTCCAGGTTCTCATCATTATTCTTTAGGGACCAACTCTAGAAGTTCTTATTCAGACCTCACTCAGGGAGAAACAAACAAATTAAACCTCCTATTGACATAAGGAGTTCAGGATTTAATCCAAGACACCATCTGCTCTTCCAGTCAGTCCAGTATAATTGTATCCAGGCAGATTTTTTTCAACAGCGCCCTTTTTTCCCTTCCTAGAAATTTTATTCCCTGATCTTTGATTTTCTGTCTGCACATCATATTAGCTATTTATTAATTTTCAGAGTTGCATCTTTAAGAAAATTACAGGCTAGCTTGAAATGCCACATTTCTATATTACACACACAGCTGGCAAATAAATTGAAAATTATATTAGGGAATCAAAATGTACTTACTTACAAATAAGTAGTTCACATATTTTATTATGTTTGTTTATTGCTTTACCAAAGATCTGATAAAAGGAATATGAATTTCTTCAACAGACAATGACATATCAAACCAAACTGTTTCTTGATAGCTTCCTATTGCTGAAATCATGTTCATGTTAGTTAGCTAACATACAGATGTACCCAGTCTCAAGTTAAATGGGATAGCCTTAAATATAAGAAAAATTATAACTATATAGTAAATAGTAGGTCTCCTAAAGTTCTGAATTTAAAAGTTCACCAAATAACACCTGAACCCTCATAGTCACTCCCATGAGTCCAATTCAAACCCTCCGCCTACAGAGTTTCTGCTAACCTGAGAACAGTCCTAGTTACAGACAGCTATCAAAAGTATGGAGGTTCTTTGAGAGAAAGAAATGACTGAGGGTGAATTACTAAGAGTGGAGAAGAAGGGATCAGGGAGTGATGGGACTGGAGAACTCAGTTTTTCATTGCCTGAGACCCTTGTTCGTCAAAGACCAACTCTCAGATTTAGTGCAACTCTATATAACAGTGTTTCTTTGTTGTCTAAACACAGCTCTGCTTCCCACCCTCAGT